ATCACGTTAAACAGTTTGTACAGATCAGTTGTGGTTTTTAAAAACATCTCCAGTTTGTGTTATGTATACAACAACGTTGTCTATAATTTAACCACTTTATGTATCACGTTAAACAGTTTGTACAGATCAGTTGTGGTTTTTAAAAACATCTCCAGTTTGTGTTATGTATACAACAAGGTTGTCTATAATTTAACAAACATAAGAAGATAACGAAACAAGGTGTTGAAAGAGAGAAATAAAAGTGAGAGGGATCGTATTTGTTCTTATAATTAATGTTAGCAATGATAGATGTTTGATCTTAGAATATCTGGAAACTGCTACCAAAACCCTACGATTAATTATCTTTAGGGTATATAACCCCCCAGCTTTTCTGGGCAACTATTTTTATAATTTTTTTAATTGTGATAAATGTACTTTTATTTTGAAATAATATTTAATAACAATATTTTATGCCATTGAATATATCTATTGACTAAAAACACAACTATGGAGTTAATCAACTACTATTATATATAATTAGAACTGTGTATTTTTTCTTCTTAAACAGAGAACAACCAGGAATCCCGCCACTGTGGGCTACATATTATTTATTGGTTCTATTATATCTCTTCTCACCCTGGTGGTGACATTGTTCATTTTCAGTTACTTCAAGTAAGTTTTATTGTTGTTATTAAAAATTATAAACAGTTGAAATAGTTTTAATTTTATTATCTATTTATTATTATTAAAAACTAAAAACAGTTAAAATAGTTTTAATTTTATTATTTATTTATTATTATTAAACATTATAAATAGTAAAAACGGGTTGACCCAAAGTGAGGAACAACGTGACGCGAACCTTGGATCTTAGGTAGGTTCAGGCGTCCTCGTTACATTTCAACTTAACACGTTGGCTGCCATGTGCCTCACCTGACTTTTAGTTGTGGATTACAGACAATTATGTTTCAAAGTCACATTTCTGTTGTGACTTATGAGTTTAGGACACCGTGACAGTTCCTCGGCACGTTTTCAATGTTGAATTTGATTTATACTTAATCTATTATTATGTGGCAGATAAAAATATTTATCATTCACTCGGCCGCTGGATTAATTTAATGGTCGGGTAATTAAAGAATGATGACGTCCAACGGACTAAATGTCTGCCTTTACTTCCTTTGGTATTAGTTAGTTATAGATTACTGAACGTTTTCCCTTTAGATAATCCCCTTTTATCCGTATTAGTTAGTTATAGATTACTGAACGTTTTCCCTTTAGATAATGTTCCCCTAACCTCCCATTTTTAGAAATTGTTTTAGACATAATTTAGAGTATGATATTCGTCTATTAAAGTCCCCCCCCCCCACCAGTGTCACAGCGGTATGTCTGCGGACTTACAACACTAAAAACTTTGAATCTTTGTACTGTCAGTTTCGATTTGTGTTTTTGTGAATGCTCTTGAAGAAGCTGTGAAGCGAAACGTTGAGTGTCTAATTAAATAAAAACAACAATTTGGTGTTATAAGGTCGTTTATTTCTAGTATCAATATGTTTTCTGTACAACAATATGCACTACAAAAATTAAATAAACGAATAACTGTATTATATGATTATTTTTCGAAGACACAACAAAAGGTTTAGCACAATGTTTCAAACATAAATGTTTGTTTATTTTCCCGCTTATATATTGTTCATGTTGATGTTAACGTAGTTTGTGTTAGTGTTTTTAACCTCCTCTTTTAGCTGTTGTACATCTGTTGTTAATTAACTTAGAAAAATAACACGTTACGTATGGTTTATCTTTCCACAGAATGTAGTTATATCTGAATTCCAAATTCGAAGTATTATCAAATATATTTTTAAACACCAAGTTGTGCTTGAAAAAATTGGAACCTTAATGATAAATCGCGTCTTCTAGAGAACTTTTCAAAGTTTAGGTTTTGGTTTCGCTTTTCGTCAACGTTTTACATGTTTTTTTGTCCTTGGTTTTAGGTCTTTGCAGTGCCAAAGACTTCGTGTCCACAGAAACTTGGTGATTGCTTTGGTTATACATTCTATCTTACTGCTCTTAATCTCGACACCAGTGGTTCTCAGAAATAAATCGCCATCCTACAAGAAAATTGTGAGTGTTTATTGGAAAAGTCAACAATAGTTTCTATATAAGTATATCACAGTGTACGTAACTAAGAACGTAACTTGTTCTTGTATTTTATTGGTTAATGACAAATGAAATTTAAAACATATTTTTTTTTTACACAGGACTGGCTTTGTAAAACGATTCTCTCCCTAAAGATGTACTCTGCTATGGCCAGCATCAACTGGATGTTTGTAGAAGGCTTACTTTTACACAGCCGTATCACAACTTCCGTTTTCCAAACGGAAGTTCCTTTCAAGGTGTATTATGTTATTGGTTGGGGTAAGTTTAATTCGAAGCAAATAAACTGCATATATCAAATAATTAAAAGAACGTTAGCTGTTTAGGCTAAACTACCTCAAATTTTAATCCTTTTTTTTTCTCCAACTTACCCCCTCCCCCTCGTGGCTCAGCGGTAAGTGTGTAGGCTTTCAACGCTAAAAATCTGGTTTCAATACCGGCAGTGGGGAGAACGCAGACAGCCCATTGTGTAGCTCTGTGCTCAAAAACAAACAAAGAAATTCCCCATCCTCGGTGTATCACACAGAACTGATATTTTCAAATACGTAAATAATATAATATATACATATAGTGGATGACGTAATTTTAATTCTAAATAAATATTTAATATTCAATCCGGTGGGTAGGAGATAAAAATATTAGATCAAATTTAGGTATTTTCAGAAATAATATCATTATAAGTCAAGGACTGAACAACGACTCGAGTTAGAATCAACTTGATTATTGTACATTTTAATGTACAATAATCAAGTTGATTCTAACTCGAGTCGTTGTTCAGTCCTTAACCAAGTTGATTCTAACTCGAGTCGTTGTTCAGTCCTTAACTAATTATTGTACATTTAGGTTAAGGACTGAACAACGACTCGAGTTAGAATCAACTTGATTATTGTACATTTAGTTAAGGACTGAACAACGACTCGAGTTAGAATCAACTTGATTATTGTACATTTAGTTAAGGACTGAACAACGACTCGAGTTAGAATCAACTTGATTATTGTACATTTAGTTAAGGACTGAACAACGACTCG